TGTTACATTTCCCAGATGGAACCTTTGACTATGGAAGAAGCTCTACAAGATTCAGATTGGATCAATGCAATGCAAGAAGAGCTTAACCAGTTTTAAAAGAACAAAGTGTGGGAACTTGTTCTTAGGCCAAAGAACTAGAATGTTATTGGAACCAAGTGGGTATTCAAGAACAAAGCTGATGAAGAAATCTAATTGGAACTCATCCGTCAATAAATCTAATCTCATCTAATCTCATTGGACCAATCCGTCAATAAATCTAATCTCATACCAGTTTTATTCACTCAGTCAATTCTATTTTTTCCTGCAACCCAGAACCGTCAATATGTTAACTCATCACATATTTTTCTCAATTAAATGCATCTATCATTACTTTTTTTATTACATTTCATTTATGGGACCATTTTATTTTTACCAATTGCTGTGATTTAAAAAGTCAGACATTTCGATGTAAAAAAATAAAAAAATGTGAATTGATTTTTTGTAAGTATTAAAAATTCACATATTAATTCAATTTGAAATAAATTTCAATAAAACGCACAAATATATATAATATTACATTGTTTTCTATATTACTATATTATTTATTTTTCATTTTTAATACCAAGTAATTTGTTGATTATTAAGACAATGAATTGAAACTATATTAGACATTTTTGATACGTAGCATGTAAATATATCAAAGTGGGTACTAATATATTTCTACAACTAAATAAATTACTCCCACGTAGGAGGTCAGCTTCACCCGCAAGAAGTATGCGTTACATCCTGCGCTGGTCAATCAATGGGGCTAGGGATGTCAAAAAAAACCGGCCCGCAATGACCCGTGCGCCCTGGCCCGAGACATTTGCAAATGGGGCGGGTTCGCCCCGCCCCGCCCCGCTTATACAATGGGGCAGGTCCAGGTATTAGTATTGACTCGACAACTCGTGCATGTCCCGTTTCGCCCCGACCCGCTCAATATATAAGTATATACATACTTTTTTCTTAAATCATACTACAAATATACTTCAACATACATATGTGTGCATGTATACAATAAATCATAAATTCTTTGATCTTATAATATATATCAATATATATTAGATTGAGATGAAAGATGGATTATCAATGTCTTCTTTATATATAGCATTTTAATACATATATTCCAATATTAATATAATTAAATAGATTAACTATTCAAGTCTAAGTGATTTTTTCTCAACTTTTAAAATTTCTAGCGTATCGTGAATTTGATTTAATATATTGATTTTTAATAATGATTTAAAGATAAAATTTATATAGATTCAATTGGTAACATCTTCTCACAAATAAAATTACATACTAGCTAATTATGTTACGGCGGGCGGGGCAGGTCATGGGTCAACAAGTTTGGACCCGTGCAGGTCACGGGTCGGGGCGGACCCGCCCCGTCAAGTCACGGGACGGGGCGGACTCGCCCCGTCACGTCACGGGGCAGGTCCGGATCTTGCAGTACCCGCCCCGCCCTGACCCATTCCCATGCCTAAATGGGGCTAGGGTGAATGGGCCGGCCACAGCTCCCTCCCATCGGTTCCCCCTATAGACTTTGAGACTTCCATATACATTATTTGGTCTGGGTTGCAACTGTTTTTGGGGTGAAAACCTGGTGCAAACCATTGGTGCTTTGGCATTTAATGTTCCAAAAAAGTTTTGAAAAGACATCTTGCTACTATAATTAATACCATGTCAGAAGCAAGAAAACATTAAATGCAAGCTTTGAATTGCGTTTGGGCGGGAAATTCTTCCAATCTTCCATTGCGTTCTGTATACATGAAGATATTTGGGCAGGAATACTATTCATTATTTGAACTCCACTTTGTATTTAGTAAAATAGTGTATTATACCCATCTAAGTTTTGTTTTGGTGTAAAAAGCCAATTTTAATGGGGTTTAGCTTTTAAAAAATTGATAAAATAGCCAATATTTAATTTTTGAAGAAAATGACAGTGTTGACTATAGCAGCCACCGTTGATGGCTTTGTAATGAAAACTCTAGAATATTTCCTTTGCAGCTATCGTAAAGTAACATCGTTGCAATGTTGATTTCTCAGTAGTTGCTACGATTGTTTAGTGACCAAAGCAAGTACACATTTTGCTCTCAGACATTTGTTGCGGTCAAAGTGATTGTCTTGCTATAATAAATTAATAATAAGGGTAATTTAAATATTTGATTTTATTTAATGTATTAATATTTAATTATGGGTTGTGATTAGTAAATTAGGGCGTGTGAATATAATTACCCTTACATTAATGATTAAAACAATAAGAATATATCCGACACTAGCCATATTGAGCTCATTAGAGTCATCATGAAAGAGTCCGGTCATTTTAACTTCAACCTTTCCGCCGCCAGATGATGTGGATAGGATTGTCATGCTTTGTAGGACCTTCCTTTAGGGAGTAGAGTACTACAAACTACCCTAGGCAATCATTTTGACTTTCGTGACAACAAGGTCTAGAATGATATCATGATTACACGGAGTAGTTTTACGGAATGATATGTGATTCCCTTATGGGATCACATGGGGTGTTGTGGCATGATCTCTATCATTTATTTTTTATGCGAACCCCCACTAAAAAAATAAATGATAGAGATCATGCCCTTATGGAGTCGGCTTTGGCATGTGTGTTAAATATTTAACACACATCATTTAGGTGTTATTCATCCCCTCTCCTCCCCCCCAGAACTAACCTTCGTAGCCTTGCCCTCCCCTTCCTTCCAAACTCCCAAACATACGTTTAGGTGATATAGATGCACATTGTCTATCATTGTCTACCTTAGGCAATCAAATATTTAAATGACTACATAGAGGATACACATATGCCCTCACTAACACACATGCCAAAGCCGACTCCATGTAGGAGTTGTGTTTTAAAGGGGAGGGATAGGGTTAGGAAGGTTTATGATCTCTCCTATCTTATTTGAGATATTAGAAAATGGAAGGAATGATTTTGGAGTGTTCTTGAGACTCTTTGGAACCTTTCAAATACTCAATTTTAAGTTCCCCAAATTGGGGGATTTTGAAAGATAAATAAATAAATGATAACTTTAACTTAATTTAAAATGAATATAAATTCAACTATTTAAATTTGCCATATCTTTAAAGTGATTTTAATTATAATTCTTCATTAACCCTCTTCCATTCAAATTTGTAACTCCCAAACAAGAAAAATGTTTTCCTTCCCTTCCCCTCTCCTCCCCCCTAGAACTAACCTTCGTAGCCTTGCCCTCCCCTTCCTTTCAAACTCCCAAACATACGTTTAGGTGATATAGATGCACATTGTCTATCATTGGCCATGAAGTATATATAGACCCCTATCCCCACCCTAGAGACTCCCAAATGATAAAGGGGTTCACTCTTGTCAAAGACACATCCCCACCCTAGAGACTCCCAAATGATAAAGGGGTTCACTCTTGTCAAAGACACGATCGACATTTATTTCAATAGGAAAACAGACATTATACGACACGTGTGTCGATGGCAGCCTTCTCTCATCTAAAGTGTGTGATTTACATAGAATTAAGATCCAACTTGGGTTGCTTTTATTTGGAAAGTCTATATTCCTCACAAGTTCTTTTTCACTACTTGATTTGCTTTTACGAACGAACTTTTCACTTATTATAATAGATTTTTGAATATATTAAACCTCATGTTTTGCCAAGTACCATGTGATCCGATGACATCACTGTAACAAGTAAGTCACATGTTCGAATCTCATCTAGGTATGGACTCGGGCCGGGTGGCCCGACCCGGAACCGGCCCGGGACCGGTACTGTCCCGGCCCGGCCCGACCCGGTGGCCCGGTCAGTGACCGGTCCGGGTAGGCCCGGCCCGTGGGTTTTCCGGTCCGGGCTCGGGTCACCCAAAACAAGGCCCGACCCGGCCGGGCCCGGGCCCGGTTCGGGCCAAAAACAATTTTTTTTTTTTGCATTTTTTTTAAAGTTTTGGGTTGGGCTGGGTATTTTGGGCCATTTGGGGTGGTTTGGGGGTTGGGGGTGGGAGGGGGGTTACTTAGGAAGAGGAAAACAAAAAAAAAATATAATGGGCCCGGACCGGACCCGGTGGTTACCCGGGCCGGTCCCGGGTCCACCATTTCTGACCCGCCGGCCCGCCCGGGCCTAGGCCCGACCCGGACCCGAGTCCAACCCTAATCTCATCCATGTTAAGGATATTGACCTTAACATAGAACATATACTATAATAGGTTGAGAAGCTTAGTAAAAAACATGTTTTTGTAAAGGTGGACCAAAGGCAATCATACAAGACTTATTTGCTATTTGTTCCATTTTACTTGCGGGATTTGGGAGGGAGGAGGGCATAAAGACTTGTCTTGGCATCCGAAGAGACATAACGCCTTTGGTTAGTGCAGTGAAGCAGATCATGAAATCATACATAATCTGCTCAAAGGCAGTATGCATCCGAAGAGACATAGTATGCTCAAACTCTCAAAGGCTTTGGTTAGTGCAGTGAATCGCTTTTTGCTGCACCACCTACTAAATTTGGAGGACAAGGAAATGAAGGAATGTAACCAGATTTGACATTGTTGCTTACATTGAGGCTCAAGTCATCTTCAAAATCAAACATGTTTCGTATAGAATCCATCTTTACAAGTTGATTACTTTTTTAAGCTTGATTTGTGGTCCTGTCACCATTCTGTTTTGGTGGTCTCACGCCCTTTTTGCTTTTTGTAACATCCTCATTCCTCATAAGGGAATGTCATTCTGAAACTTGGTATTCTTCTTTGGTTGCATTTATAGGTATACATGTATACAACAACAACAACATCCAAGCCAGTCTCAAAATATTTTGGGGTCGGCTAACATGAATCGATATATTGTATCAGAACAAAAAGGAAAGGAAATATAAGAAAGATAAAAAATACTTCGTATAAGCTATGATGAAAAAGATAATATAGAAAGAGATATAACATATACATAAAAATGATAGAATAGAAAGGATAAAATATATATATATATACACACACACATAAAGATAAGAGAGCAATATAAACGGTTCAGTAATCGAAGTAATGTTTTTCAGTAGAACTTACAAAAGAAATATCATTTGAATCTCCCCACATACTTTCAAGTGTTTTTGGTGACTTTGAGAGACATGGCTAGCTTTCAGAATAGTCACCAAAAATCATTGTGACATGCAAAAACGTTTTTGAGCCAGCAAGAGTGCATTCAGCATACAGTTTGGGGGCATGTTGGTATTCTACGAGATAGTCATAATTGTCCCGGCAAGACCATCAACTTGTAGTGATCTTCTTCCGCCACTTAGGGCTGCGCAATACAAGCATAAAAGAAGAGTATGACCCCAAGTTTGAAATGACACTTGTTCCAAATAGGCTGTGGAGCTTTTAGGCATTTGGGCATAGGGGAGGCGCCTCAAGGCGGGGCGGTTTGAATGAAGCATAAAGCCTCAAACTTTATACAGATCTGCCAATTCATTCATACTTGTACATAATAATTACTCAGCACCTAAATTTACTCCACTTTGGTGAGCTTTGGAAACGCGGATTTCTTCATTACTATTCAACAATAATTTTCAAGATCTATTGTTAACCACTACAACAATTACCAAGCCCTAACTTACAACACTCAACACTAATGTGAATAAGCATTAAATCAAATACATTCACTTGATCTATGTTCTTAAACCTCACATAGCTAGAACAAACATATCTGCAATGAAGAATATGAAGGCATACATTTCATCAACTGCAAATTAAACGTCTACTTTAATCATAAAAACCAAGAAAATACTCAAGACTCACAGCACAATCCATAAGGAAGTACAAAAATTGCAGTACACCAGAGATAGATTTTGCGAACTCACTGGGGTCTCCCACAGCTCAAAATACCACGCGAAACTGGGGGGCATCGGATGCACTCGCCGGAAGAATCTCCCAACGGCAGGGCTCCAGCTCATCGGAAACGGGGCAGTAACCGGATATCGTTACCTTGTCGGCAGAAGTGGCGACGAAACCAAACTCAAAAACAGTAACCTCCGGCAGCGATAGGGGTCTAGAAACTTCCACGGCTCCGTTCGGGCCGGATGCCTCCTGCTTTTGGTAAGAAGAAGAAGACGAAGATTGGGAATTCGAACCGGGGTTCGTTTTCGAGGCAGATTCCGAAGGAAAAGATGTAGAATCCCCACGGTTGTTGCCCCCCTCAGCTTGTTTATTGCCGCCCCTAAACCATGACAGAATCCCCATATTGCGTTGCGTTGCGTTGGGCTTCCCCAAGACACGACTGGTTGGTGAGAGTATAATCTAGGGGTTTATTACATCAAACCGAGTGATATTTAAAGGGGGTGACAACTCCGGTAACTTTCTAAAAAATGGGGTACCCTACATATCATTTATTTGATTAGATCACATTACTTTATCATTTTTAATTTAGATTTAAATAATTCAACTGTTACATTTTCATTGGTCCATGTGAACAAAGGTATGGTACCTTATGGGTACCATAGAATCTACCATATTTAAATGAGAGAATTCTCCGAATAGGACTAAAAGAAGGTAGAATTGCAAAAATAGAACTATTATGTTTTATTGGACATAAATAAAACTAAAAAGAGCTAATCTGACAAAAATACCCTTAATGAAAAAATTAAAAGTTCGCATGGCAGGGCTGTGCTGCGCAGGTGGGAATTCCCCTGTGCTGCGCAAGTGTGCCGTGTGCGTCTCCAAGCCTCCAAGCGTAGACGCCTCCACCAATGGCGCCTCCACCATCCTCCATCAAGTCTGCCACCCCCGCCACTCCTCACCGTGTAGGTTGTCATCATTCTCCGACAAATATTTGTTCTCCAGTGAGTCTGTGCAAACCTCCATGAGGAATGTCATTTCCTATGCGAGAATGCCACTTAATATATGCATAATGACACAATAATGACAATTTCATATATAAACGTGACATTCTCAATATGTCATTTCCAAATACTTTAATGACATAAAAATGACATTTTTTAAAAATAACCAATAATGACAATTTCGTATAGAAACATGTCATTCTCATATGACACTTCCAAATATTGTAATGACATAAAAGTGACATTTTTTAGAAAAACCCAATAATTATGGCACTCTCTTACTCAAAAAGTGACATTTTCTGGAATTATTAGTTAGAGCATTTTGAGATTCAAATTAATCAAAATTGATAAAAAGAAATTCAAGTTCAGATATATCTTCATTTGAAACTTTCAAAATTCAAAATTTTATTTAACAATTTGATTGATAAAAAAGCAGAGAACTAGGCTGAAGAAGATAAAGAACATGATGAAGAAGAGGAGGAGGAGGAGGAGGAGGAGGAGGAGGAGGAGGAGGAGGAGGAGGAGGAGGAAGAAGAAGAAGAAGAAGAAGAAGAAGAAGAAGAAGAAGAAGAAGAAGAAGAAGAAGAAGAAGAAGAAGAAGAAGAAGAAGAAGAAGAAGAAGAGGAAGAGGAAGAGGAAGAGGAAGAGGAAGAGGAAGAGGAAGAGGAAGAGGAAGAGGAAGAGGAAGAGGAAGAGGAAGAGGAAGAGGAAGAGGAAGAGGAAGAGGAAGAGGAAGAGGAAGAGGAAGAGGAGGAGGAGGAGGAGGAGGAGGAGGAGGAGGAGGAAGAGGAAGAGGAAGAGGAAGAGGAAGAGGAAGAGGAAGAGGAAGAGGAGGAAGAGGAGGAAGAGGAAGAGGAAGAAGAGGAAGAGGAAGAAGAGGAAGAGGAAGAAGAAGAAGAGGAAGAAGAAGAAGAGGAAGAGGAAGAAGAAGAGGAAGAGGAAGAAGAAGATGAAGAAGAAAAAAGAAGGAGAAAACTTTACCTGGACACATGTCAATCGGAATATATGTTGCAAACATGGCTAACCAAGATGCTCTGGTTTCAAGATCTCCTTTTTCTCATGGTCTACCGCAGGTCTCTTACAATCAAGCTTCCATTCACTGCAGATTTCTCCCTCGATTTTAATGGATGCCTTTCTTTGTAGCAATAGTGTCTTGTCCTTTCGGGAGAGCTCTGGGGCCATCGATGCGGAAGAGGAGCGAAAGAGGAGACCGATGGATTTAGGGATTTAATATATTAGGGGTAGAATGGTAATAGGGAGTCCTATTTAGGGAATATAAAACATTAAGTCCTATTATGGAGTTTTGGGTATGTTTTAGTCCTATTTAGGGCAATTTCTTTATCTAAATTCACTATGTTTTGTTAAACATGCTTTTATCAGATTAATTAAATAAGTAAGAAATAATGACCCCTATATTATTACCTGATGGAGTATATGGACCAGGGACCCCCGGCCCACAGACTCCTACTACTCTAACACAGGCCCAACAGGCCCAAGAAACACAAGAGGCCCAAAGGACAGCCCACGGTGCACATACGGGTGCCTTCGGCCTCATGGCTGAGGGCTCCTAAACCTCACATGACAGCTGATTTTAGGCATACAGACCTACTGGGAGAAATGACGGAAATCAGGAGCCTTCGGCTCATGCACGCCTTCGGCACTTGGGTAGCCTTCGGATACACAGAGCCCCCAGCCACAGGGGAGCCTTTGGCTACAACACATACATCGAAGATTCCCTTTGGAGACAAGCAACAACCGCATTTAATGCGGCGTCACGTCCACCCACCGCATTTAATGTGGTGCACATGCGTATGCCGGTGCCATCCCGATTGAGGTGACCCCTCGACTGTTAGATTGTTGACACATGTACTCTCATCGTATTTATTACTGCTATAAATAGCAACCCATTCTCCATTGTAAGACAACACAAGTTCACATATTCGAATACACTCTCTCTCTTACTCATTGCTCTGACTTTTGTCTAGGTTATTCATCGTAATAACCCCTCGGATAAGCTACCCCCCGGGTACGCTATCCATCATTTGGTGCTCTCGTGGAGAGTTCGAACAATCAAGTAAGAACCCCCCCCCCCCCCCCCCCCCCCCTCGTCGAATACAAAGAACACCTACCAAAATGGGAAGAATCACTCGTGCCTAGTCCAAGAACCTCGAGGACAACAACCTAGCCCTCGGCAAGGTCGACACCCCTAGAGCCTCCAACAGGGCTCCCGAGGGCGGATCAGGCTGCTGTTAACCTGCGCCTTCAGCTCCAGCAGAATGCTCCTGATGCCCGCCTCGGCATCGAGACTCGAAGAAAGGACCGGAGTGAAAACCAAGTGAGCCCTCCGGTCCTCACCATTGACGTGCAGTCAGCGTTTTCTGCCTTCATCCAGACACTCACCCAGAATCCAGGTGCCTTCGGGACTCTGATGCCACTTCAACCACAGGTTGGGGGAAATGTCGTTCCTCCCCCACCTCCACCCCCCTCCGTAAACCCTATCTTTCAGTTAGGGAATAACGAAGGGGTCGTGGCTCAGGACACCGCTTCCCAGAAAGTCCAGTCCCGGGACCAGCGTGGTGTGAACAAAGATAGGCCCCCGGACCTCTGCCCTCGAGAGGTTAGGAGGAGCGCAAGATCACCGAGGGGTCCAAGACCGCCTCAGGGGTAAGGCGTTCCAAAGACCTCAAGAAAGTGGGGGATCTGTATCGAGGGCAGACGAGAGGTGTTACCCTCAGGACAAAGGCAAGGGACCACTCCACGCCGATGACGCCAGACACAGAATCAACCAGGCTCACTCAGCCCGCGTACAATCGCAGCGGGCGGAGGCCCTCCTGAAGGATCACAGGGACGAGATTATTGAGGCCCTCCAACGCCGCCTCGACGAAATGGAGGCCCGCCAGGTTCACACAACCACTTCCGCCTCCCATGCGGATCCTAAGTATGAGGCAATGCTGGCCAAAATGGAAGAGATGCAGAAGAAGATTGCTGAAGGCTCTGGGGAACCCGTCATCCAGCTCCGGACAAGAACGCCATTTACCCCAAGGGTATTGGCGGCCCAGATTCCGGGAAAATATCGAGGGCAACCCATCAAGCCCTATGAAGGGAAGACCGACCCCCAGGAGCACTACAGCATGTACCAGAACAACATGATGATGGTGGGGGCATCAGATGATCGAATATTTATGCCGCTGGTTCCTTTCCACCTTCGAGGGACCGGCGTATGAATGGTTCAACCGGTTGCCCGAAGGCAGCATTGATTCGTGGCAAGAACTTGCCTACCGTTTCTTGACACAATTCGCAGGGAGGCACCGGTCAAAGAAACATTTCTCCCACCTTCTGAACGTAAGGCAACAGAAGGAGGAACCCCTCCGGAGTTTCCTAGAATGCTGGAGGCAGGCCTCCATCAAAGTCGATGGTGCCGACAATAGAACGTTGATGGCCCTATTCCACACCGTACTCCGCAACGGTAATTTCTCCAGGAGCCTTATTACTGACCCCCCCGTGATTATTCGAAGGCCCTCCAGCGGGGGGACCGATATGCCGAGGCTGAGGAGATCGAGAAAGATCGCTGCAACCCAGAGCCTTCATAAAAGAACGAAGGCAGAAATCGCCCCGGGGGGCTACCCCCTCTGACCAACCGCGAGGCACAGTACAACGACTCACCCCGGAATGGCCAAGCCAAACCCGGGGGCAGTTACAAAAACAATCCGAGGGCGTGGGCCCAACCTACCCTCTTAGAACACCCATGCACCCCTTTGACGCATCCCATCGGCGTTATCTTGGACTATGCGGAGGAAAGAGGCCTTGTGGAGTGAGACTCACACGCACCCCTAGAGGTATATGCCATCAATCCCAACGAACCTTATTGTTGCTTTCATCGCCATCAAGGGCACAAGACCGATGACTGCCACCATCTGAAGACAACCATCGAAAGGTTAATACAGGCAGGCCATCTGTGTCAATTCGTCAGGGGCCCTCGTCCTCAGGGGACCCCTCATCACCAAGGGCCCACTCCGAAGGCCAATAAATGGGTTAACCCAAACACCATCCCCTTGGGAAACCCATAGGGGAAGAAGCGTGAGATTGGGAACCTCAGTGAGGAGGAGGATCCAGAGCACCAGTGCAAGCGCCACATCCACATGATCGCTGGAGGCAACACCGGTGGGGACTCCACGAGCCAAAGGAAGAAGTGGGCTCAATCCCTTTACGTTGGGGAGGTCAATCATATGCCCCCAACTAAGAGGCCGACGGCGGACCCGATCTTCTTTACAGATGCGGATCTGCCCCTGGGCTCTCTTCCTCATAGGGATGCCCTCGTCATCCAGACAGAGATCAACAACACCATCATCCTCTGCACCTATGTTGACACAGGTAGCTCTGTCAATGTTATGTATCTCAGGAATTTTCTGGAGCTTGAGCTCGATATGAGATCCCTTCGGCGGATCAAAACACCTCCCTTCGA